TTTTTTTTTTTTGAGATAGAATCTCTCTCTGTCATCCTGGGTAGAGTGCCATGGCATCATTATAGCTCATAGCAACCTCAAACTCCTGGGCTCAGGAGATCCCCTTGTCTCAGCGCCTGGAATAGCTGGAACACCCGGCTAGTTTTTCCATTTTTTGTAGAGATGGGGTCTTGCTCTTGCTCAGGCTGGTCTCGAACTCCTGAGCTCAAGCAATCCACACGCCCGGCCTCCCAGAGTGCTAGGATTACAGGCGCGAGCCACCACAACCCACCTTCTACATTTAGACAGATGCACAAATACCACTGTGTTACAGGGGCCTGAAGTATTCAGGACAGGAATATACTGTATAGGTAGCACTGTGGCCTGGGAGCAGTAGGCCACACTACACAGCCTGGATGGGTAGTAGGATATACATTCTAGGCTGTGTAAACACACTCTGAAATTCATACAATGACAAAATTGCCTAACGACACATTTCTTAGAATGTATACCAGTTCTTGCATGTGATGCATGACTATATTTCCTTTTTACCCCTCCTCCCCCTTTCTGGATTATAAAAGAACTGATAATATCCCATTGTTGCCTAGGCGATCTGGCACGTTAATGATCATAGTTCTACCCGTTTGCAGAGTTTTAGAACCATGGCCTCCAGACCCACAATCTGGCCTGATCCTCCTGCTGCCTTCAATCCACTAACTCCTTTTATTAGTAGAATTCACTTCTCTCACTCACTAGCTGTTGTCCAACTAAGTGTGGCCTGGTAGGATGCAATGCCAAACTGCTAGTTTTTGTTTGGGACTCAGGGAGGGAGATGCTAGAGAAAGGTAGTAATGACTCAGAAATGAGTTCAAAATGAGGGCTCTGATAATCCAAGGACAGAGGTGCTGAATTTCTGCTGTGTGGGTATGTGTGTGTACGTATGTGTGCACATGTTCGTAGGGGTCCAACGCAGCTGAACCTCTGAAATCATTATGTCTAGCAGTTCCTTGACTCTGAGGTAGGGCCACATAAGGGATTCCCTCCTTTTCCCTCCAGGAATAGGGTGTGGGAGGCCAGATGACTTGGGCCTTCCTGTCCCTTCCACCCCACCCCCACTGCCACATCATCACCTCCCACATCTGCACTGGGAATACAGCATCCCCTTCCCCTCCAAAGAACTCACACCACCACAGAAGCCTTTCCCCCAAATCTCTCTCTCTTTGCCTGGCCACCCAAGCAGCCCACCCCGCTTAACTGCACTTTTCCATAAATGCTGCTGCCCCCAATCTTCCCTATTAGGACTGCCAAGGCTCAGAGCTATTTTTACCTCATTCTCTTCTCAGGCTGCAGACTTCAGGGGGAGGAGTGGCCTCTGCTTTCCTCCAGCAGCAGAGTCTCCACTCCCTCTTCCCCACCTGGAACATCTGTTTTACAGCTCAGGGAAGTTCTGCTTCCCCCAGCCCCACCCTAGTAGCTGCAGTCTTTTCTTTATCTCTGAGTTTCTTCCCTGGTTGGGAACATTTTGGTTCTTCATTATTTCCGCTGTGGGTTGGGGGCTCAATAAAGCCACTCTTACAACCTCAACTCTCAGCCCACCACTCACCTTGGTTTAGGACAGATGCAGTAAAAGCCACAGAACAGAACTCACCCCCCCACACACACACACAGGCACAGTATATACACACACCCTGGGGGCATGCCAGAGCTCAACAGGGATGCCACTAGACTCTGCAGAGAAGGCTTTCTCCCTCTATACCTGTCCTTCCCTCAGAATCTCCACCTTTAGCATAGGGAGGTTTACCTTCAGGCTGAGATCTTTTCTGGGTTCTATGGCCTAGGACACTTAGGGTGAGAAGGGTCATCCATATTAAGATTTTCATGGTGGCCTTCTACCACACCACGGCTCTGGAGAAAATACAGAGCTGGCTTGCTGTCCCAGACTCCTGTTTTGTTCCCCCAGAACAAATAGGGCACAGTGACTCACACCTGAAATGCCAGCATTTTTGGAGGCTGAGGCAGGAGGATCCCTTGAGCCCAGGAGGTTGAGGTTGCAGTGAGCTGTGATGATGCCACTGCACTCTAGCTGGAGCAACAGAGCAATACTTTATCCCCTCCCCCCAAAAAACCTCCCAAAACACAACCCCCCCCAACCCTCTTCCTCCTTTATCTCCACTTAGTTAGATAAATGGAAAACGCAGCTCTGGGCAAACATTCTCTATCCAAACACTGCTGTAAGTGGGGGCAGTGGGTAAGGGTCAGGAGAGGCACAAGAGTCATTTCTGCTTCTATCCTATTAGCACCTCTTTTCTGGGTCACCCACCTCTGTGTCTCTACTCTCTCAGACCGCATCTCTTAACTCTTCCCAGAGAAACCGAGCAAGGACCTCACCTCACCCCAGATGGTCACTCAACCCAGCTTGGTACCAGAGTCAGTGGAACCACAACTCCCTGACTGGGGTCTTCTCTGTGCGGAAGAGCTAGCCTTCCATTTCTACCCCTATTCTCTTCAGGAGGGAGAGCCAGGAGAAGAGGGAGTACAGTCCGACCCTACCAGCCCCCACGATTCCCTCTCCTGGAGCGGGAGCATCAGCCAGGCTTTCAGGAAGCAGGGTGGAGGCAGGGTCAGGGACATTCCCGTCCCGCCCAAGTTCACCAAGAGCTGAGTTCAGATTCATTCCTGGTGAGACTGGGGAAGAGGAGTGGAGAGTAGCAGCAACACAGACTGTCAGGTTTATTTGGGGTTATGATACAAAAACTCCATTTTTATCCAGGCAGAAGGAATGGGGAGAGGAGGAAAGAAAGCAACAAGGCTGGGGCGCGCCTACCTCCTCCCCTGCTGCGCCTGGCCTCCGCCCCCGCAGGCATGCGGGGGTGATTCACCGCGCCCAGACCGCGGGACCCTGCGGAGGCTCTGCACCCTCCTCCGCCAGCCCCCAGTGCTTTCCTCCCGCCCACCCTTCCCCGCCCGGCCTGCTTCCAGAAGGCCGAGGTGCCGGCGCGCAGAGGGCCAGCGTGTGTTCTAGGGCCTGAAAGCGCCTGGAGGCCAGGGTCAGATGGCAGCGAGGGGACAAGGGGTAGACAGCGGAGGCTGATGCGGGGGCGTGGGGTCCCGGGAGGGAAGCTGGCGGTCGCGTCCCTTGCCTGGCGCAGCCCCCGCGGTGCGTTCCTGAGCCCTGAATCACCCGCTATATCGGGCGGGCAGGCACGGAGGCCCCAGGCCCCGGCCGCGCCGCCAGTGTCCGCTTACAGCGGGCCCCAACGGCCGCCAGGAACCCCTGGCTTTCCTGGAAATTTCCCCAACTAGAAGACGTTTGACAGCTAAGCTGGGGCGGTCTGCGCGGGACAGTGCCCCCGAGTCCCGCCCTCTAACTCGGTTCTACTACAAGTTTGAGACAGGAGGGAGGGGACTGATTGGGGAGGTGCAGGGTGCAGAGCGCGCCCTTCTGCACGCCCGAAGAGTCCGCCGCTCCCCTAGTCCTGCCCAGCCTAGGCGCGCTCGCCGGAAGGAGGGTGGATCTCCCGAGCGCCCAGGCCAAGCTGGCTCGAGAGCCGTGCGGCGGGCAGGTCTCCCCACCCCAAGCCCCAGGTGGGAGACGCGGGCTGGGCGCAGAAGCTCTGCTCTGGGTGCGGTCTGCCCCGCGGGCTCACCTGGTAGATCATGACTTTAAAGTTGCGGCGCCGCAGCAGCTCAGCCTCATTGACCTCCAGCTTCTTGATCTGGCCCGCCTGGCGCTCCAGGCTGCCGCGCACGGTCTTCACGTTGACGCTGACCTTGCGCACCTTCTCCAGCAACTTGCTCACTGTGTTACTCGTGGTGGCGTGTGCCTTGCTTAGCTTGCTCAGCTCGCCCTGGATGCTCTGCACGGCGCCCTCCATCTCCGCCTGTCGCTCCTCCAGCTGGGCTTGGGTCAGCTGGATCTGGTCGACGGCGCCGATGATTTTGTCAAGAAGGCTCAGCACCAACACGCCATTCACCTGGTCAGACTTGATCAGCTCCTCAGAGCCGGCCCCGGACGGCTCCTCCGCTGCCGGCGCCCCCACAGGTGAGGGCTCTGGGCCCTCCGGGTCGGGGTACCCGGCAAGCGGCCGCTCGACGATGTGGAGCGTGACGTCCTCCATGGCTACCCGGAGCCGTGCGGGGCCGGCCGGGTGGAGCTGAACAGCCGGAGCTGGAGACCTGGAGAGAAGGAGGAGCAGGAGGGGGAGAGCTATCAAGAGCGGAGGAAACTCGAGCCACGTCCGTGCGCACCGGGACGCCGGCCAGAACTGCGGGGCGGGGGATCCGTGCGCACCCCGGCTCCCTGGCCAAACCCCGGAGTCTCGTCGCGCATTGGCTGGCCCCACCCCAGAGAGGGAGGGACCGGGGCAGAAGGGTAGACCAGCGAGGGGGAGCTGTGGAGGGGGACCCGAGAGCCGCGCGCCCCACCCTTCCCAGGATGGTTGGAATAGTTGGAGCGGGAGACCAGGGCCTCCGCTGGCAGCGGGCAGCTGGAGCGGGACTGGGCCGGAGGAATGTGAGTTGAGGAAGGGAATCAGGTCTTGAGTGTGTGGCTTGCCTTTTCCCTCTCCCATTCTTTGCTCATCCGCAAACCGACTAAATCTTAAGGCATTTTATAGAGTTGGGAGTTGGGTGGACCATGAGATCCTGAGATTATAGCCAAAACCTTTTATTTGCCTATGCCTAGTTTTTGAGGGTAAAGGTATCCTTGCCCACCACGATCTTTTCGACCTCGTAGTTACCAACCCGCTGTTCTAAAAGCTTTGAGGGGGTGGTGGTGCAAGGGAAGGAAGAGAAAGGTTAGGTTCATGTGCTGAGGGGCTGCGAAGCTCCTCTAGATTCCTCTTAGAATTGTCCTAACGGTAAGGTTACGATGGACAATAAAATACGAAGTAAAGCCCTGCTTTACCCACCACTTATCTCTCTCTAAAAATCACCGTTCCCCGGGCCCTCTGCCCTCCAACAGGTCTCGACACCAATCTCAGAGAGCAGGATCTGTGGGTGATGTGTTGGTTCTTTAGATCCCTGAGACCAGCGCTAATCATGATGTTTTGACATCTCCTCGTTTGACAGGAGGAGGTGGGCCTGGAGAGGCTTGCCAGAGGTCACTCGCAGGGTCGTGTTGGCACCGGCACTTGAACCCAGGTCTCTGGACTCCTGCTTCCTTGCTTCTACCTTAGCACTCTGGGCCTTTTTCTGGGCGGGGAGGTGGGTCACCCCTATGTGCTGGTGTGACCCTGCTGGCTCGAGGATTAACTAAAGGTTTTTTTTTTTCCCAAGACATAGTCTCACTATGTCACCCTGGGTAGAGTACCTTGGCGTCACAGCTCACAGCAACCTCAAACTCTTGGGCTGAAGCGATTCTCTTGCCTCAGTCTCCCAAGTAGCTGGGACTACAGGAGCCCGCCCAACGCCCACCTATTTTTGTTGTTGTTGCAGTTGTTATTGTTGTTTAGCAGGCTCAGGCCAGTTCGAACCCTCCAGTCTTGATGTATGTGGTCGGCGCCCTACCCACTGAGCTACTGGCTCCGCCCAACTAAAACATTTTCGTTCCTGGTGGCTACAAAGGAGCCGTCAACTCTGAGCAGGCCCACCAGAGGAGCGTTCTTAGTGGAGAAGACCAGAGAAGGAGGCTGCCCCTCCTCCTTTATTTTGCTCTCTAGCAGCAGCCTGGCTGTGTGAGTCCTCTGGAGCCCCACCAGCTCCCTTTCCCACAGAAAAGCTGCAGCCCTTTCCCCTGCTTTGGAAACCAAGCTTGGGTTTCCCCAGCTGGATGGATGATTGTCTCGGCAAAAGGTCGCTTCTAGTCTGGCATCCACCGTCATTAGGAAAAGTGAAAAACTGCTGCTAGGGCACCCCAAACCTCCTCAATCCAGGCAACCCATGCACCCAAAAAGGAACTCCAGAGAATAGTGGCTGAGATATTGTCCTAACAACTAGTGGATGAAATACTTGCCCTAACACTTCAATAGCTGTTTCCGCATAAACAAGTAGCTTTCTCATTTAAGGGTCAAACTGGCATATAAAATCTTATATTCACATGTAGCTGTTAGCACCGGAAGATTACCAATTTATTTTAGAATTTAAGAGGAATGTGTTACAGTAACTTAACTTCCTTCTACTAAGGACTGATAAAGCTTTAAAAAAAAAGAATAAAAAAAAAAGAATGATAGCTTATTTGATTAGATTGTTTTAACAGATGACATTGAAGGAACAAACTGCAAAGAGCATACAAAGAAATACAGGGAAAAGTAACTTTATTTCTACCTCTGTCCCTAGTAACTAGTTCTCTTTCCAGGAGATATTAATTATTACTATTTTCTTGTGGAATCTTCCATAGAAATTTCTGGGGCCTGGAGAGGTGGCTCACAACTGTAATCCTAGCACTCTAGGAAGCCAGGAGGGTGGATTGCTTGAGCTCCATAGTTCGAGACCAGCCTAAGCAAGAGTGAGACCACATCTCTACTAAAAATAGAAAAAGT